ATTTTAACTCCAACTTCTGGAAAATATTTCATTATTTTGTGTTAGAGGGTGATGGATCCGTGCTCATAATTATTTTCAGCCGGCGTTCACTACACTCTCAAAAGAACAAAATTAAAGCGTAATAAATTTTTCATGCACTGCACTCCATGCTGTGTTTTACGGACATGAAACATTAAATAACTGGCGAGTCATGAAGCAAATATAGTTCTGAACTCACTGCTTGTAGCCGACGGTACATTGACATCAGTCTGCAAAGCACATCATGGGCTTGACCTTAGCGTCCTCACACATTATGAAATGGCAATGACAAACTTTGCTGTAGGCTTCTGGGTTGCTTTTACATTTAGATTCATTTCTGAAGCATCATTTTGACAGATTATATGTCATGAATATGTGACCTTAAGCTGTCACTTTATGTACTTTTGTAAGTTTTGAGTTATTAAGATTTTCATAAAAATGTTCTTTTTTCCTCTTAAGATATGTGGCTCTTTCTGAACATAATTGGCACTTGAGGAGTCTTGACCATTTCTTTTGAGCCATTGCATTTCCAGTGTGATAGTGAGAGTGTGAGACATGGCAGTTTGAGGTTTCCTCACAAAAGATTCTTTTATAACAGCGTCTACAGAAAGAACTGGAATAAAAATGAGCTATGAAGGATGACGCAGGGAGTGGAAATCTTAATACCATATGTGCTCCATATAGGCTGACCTATTTCCACTATCTTTTCTTGACATGCAGCTTATATGCAAATTTTAACATGCTTTTGAGTTCATCCAGATTCAGATTAAAGGCACAATATATAATTTTCGCCGCTGGAGGGCGTGTATTCAAAATAAACAAAGAGGCAAAGGCGTAGTTTGATGACGCTGTGACTGAGTGTGGAATCATGGGAGTGTAGCGTCTGGAACACTCCAACACACAATATATATTTTGTTAGCTAGATTTCACAAATACTTTGTAACACCCCAGGACGCTGAACAAGACCCTGGTTTCATGGTAACCCGATACATTTACAACCTTGTGGAATGCGAGCCGGCTCTCATTCTGCTTTCTCCAGAAACAAAGGGACACAAATGCACAGGAGAAATGGACTTTTCTACTAATTAATTCATAGGATTATGGTCTTCATCTCCACAGCCGATGCAATCCGACGGGACTCGGGCATAAATCATGTTCCTGGATGAGCTAATGATTTATTAACGTAGTAGAATGAAGCAGGGGGAGGCTGAAAGCCGTCGAAGTGAAACGAGGCTGCTGAACGAGCGTGACACACGGCTCGAAAGCAGCAGAGCTTTTATTATGCCACAGTCGACTGCTTCCGCTCCTTCCGGTCGTGCGTATGTGGGGTAAAGCAGCGCTGTTTTATCATACTAGATACATTTGAAAGTTCTGTTATAATGTTACTCTGTGCGGTCGTCACCGGTCTATTAAAACGCACAACATATTAAAGCGTCTTTGGTGTTTCCGGAAATCGAGGGGTTACGACGTCATTGGCAGGCGACACAATGACACTATGGACACGGTCCGTGTCACTAGTTAAAATTGCTTATTTCTTTGGATTTAAACATTCTTTGAAACATTTGGGATAATTAAAGTACACAAGTCAGCAAAATATATAACACTGTTCTAGTTTTATATCCGTTTTTGGATATTTTAATAAAAAATGTTAACATATTATGCCTTTAATGTAAATTCTGATCTGATACATTTACATTTACATGAATAACAGTTAAAAGTTATTCATTCCCCAAAGAGTTGCCTTGTACTTGAAACTTTAATACTTAAAAAGTTTACCAATCGGGTGCGTTTCCCAAAAGCAACTATGGTTGTAAGTTCCATCGTTACCAATGGAGTTCAGTGGAACTAACGACCATAGTTAGCTAACGATGCTTTTTGAAAACGCAACCCAGAGTGGTTATTCAAATGATGCAACGTCGTTTAGTTCATTTGTGTCTGGTGTCGTTAAACAAAATTTGCATAACCAATCATTGTCTGCGATATGTATTCAAGCCAATCATCTTTCAGTATCACAGCAGTGCATCATCAAATATGCACTGTATGTTCCTGTTAAGAAAACAGTTGAAGAGAAACTTGAAATTTAACCAAAATGTTGATGAAATACAAATGAATAAATACAAATCTGCCATAATGAAGGATGGAGTTCTTCTACTATGCATATGTGACCCGGGACCACAAAACCTTAAGTCTTAAGTCGCTGGGGTATATTTGTAGCAATAGCCAAAAAAACATTGTATGAGTTAAAATTATCGATTTTTCTTTTATGCCAAAAATCATTAGGATATTAAGTAAAGATCATGTTCCATGAAGATATTTTGTAAATTTCTTACCGTAAATATATCAAAACAATTTTTGATTAGTAATATGCATTGCTAAGAACTTCATTTGGACAACTTTAAAGGCGATTTTCTCAGTATTTAGATTTTTTTTGCACCCTCAGATTCCAGATTTTCAAATAGTTGTATCTCTGCCAAATATTGTCCTAACAAACCATACATAAATGGAAAGCTTATTTATTCAGCTTTCAGATAATGTATAAATCTCATTTTCAAAAAACTCTTTATGACTGGTTTTGTGGTCCAGGGTCACATATGTGATCTGTATATGACGCTGCAATATTTGTTCCATCAGTTTACTATATTATTAAGGGTTGTGTTGGCGATTTTAGAGATTATAGCGCATTATTTATTATCAAGATTATTCTAGGATATCATGAGGGATATAATCTGTGTACGGGAGAATAGTTATCAGTACATAGATAAACTTAAAACCTGCTGCAATTATTTTTAGGTTCGATTAACATTATTTACATGTCAGCCTACCTGAATATTCCTTCATGGTCTGCCCTTTGTTCGTTAGTTTTTAAATAGCTTGATACTGACAATCATAATAGTGTAAGTTATACTTTATATTGCACTGGTCACTATAATAAATTGTATCTCTCATGTTTTAAGAATCAAGAATATTAGTATGAAATAGAATCCCATTCATCAATTTCAACTCAAGAGTTATGCCACAGATCAGCAGGCTTTCGGCTTGACGCTGTATATAGATATGATTCTTTAGTTAATCTAATTGTTTTTTAATTATTCATGTTTTCTTTGGACCTCTCACTACTGGAGCGGAGAGATAGATAGATAGAGCAGCCAGGGAGAAGATGGAGTATCAGAGGTCTGCTGCCTTTTCCAGTTGGCATAAGACGAAATGTCTAATGACAGGGAACACCGACAGCAGTTCCAGCAGATTTCTGGCAATATATTTACATGACTTGATGCCAACTTACAGTTGATTAAAGTAACATTGCACGGTGGTCATGTATTCCTGGCACCATCCAACCAGGAAAAAATGGTTGACTCTTGTTGTCTGTAGTTCAACTGGCACAATGTGAGCAATGCAAAGGTCATGGCTTTGGTTTGCAGATAACAGATAAAATGACTAATTTGAAAGCATCATAAGTGGTTTTGGACAGAAATATGTTAAATGCATAAAATAAATGCAATCTATTGTCTGTTTAAAGACATTCTGTAGTGCTAAAGTGGTAGATCTTGACAAAATCTCTGATTGGTCCTTATGTTGATCAACAGTAGGCAGATTCAGCGTTTTCCATGCCAGGAGATGAGGAATATAAGGGAAACATGCCAGTGCCAGGGTGCCAAGATAATGCTGCAGCCAGCATGACAACTTGTGTCCAATGCTTTTCTACATTTAAACTAGATTATAAAAGCATTTTTATATGTTTGTGCTTGAGTTTCAGTGAAAAGAATAAATCATCTCAAGGTACATGAAACACACTGGCATTTATGAAAGCATTCAAGACCCTTGATGCATGGATGTGACATATGTATAATTTCAGTGAACACTCTTCAAAATGACCCTGTGGTCAGTAAAGATAGAGCAAGTCAAGTCAACAGTAAAAGGTGCTCATGACACATTTTGATTCTGTGATCAGATGTGCTTTTAAAAGATATGTAGGATGGTGCTTTATTCGATGCTTTATAAATTGATTAGATTGTAAAAAGTGGAATAAGAGGGAAAAAATAAGGGGAATTGGTAACATCGAGTGAAAAGGAAATTTGTCTTAAGTGGAGCAAGTTGTTACAGTTTAAGTAATGTTACAAAAGGGGGAAAATCCTTTACTATAACATTCACTAATGAATTGTGCACAATAAGATCAGGAATGTGCATTTAGAAAATGAATAAGGTCAGTTTTGATTTTATGTTGACTTTAAAGGAATAATTCACCCCAAAATTTAAATTGCTCAGTAAAAGATTTTTACTGTAGGAAGTGTTATTATGGACATTTGTAGCTGGAAGCAAAGGTTTCGAGTTTAAATGTCTTAATGATGGAGCTTTTTGCTTCACAAGACATTAATTGATGGACTGGAGTCATGTGGGTTACTTGTGGATTATTGTGATGTTTTTATCAGCTGTTTGGACTCTCATTCTGACGGCACCCATTCACTGCAGATCATCCATTGGTGAGCAAGTGATGTAATCCTAAATTTCTCCAAATCTGTTCTGATGGAGAAACAAACTCATCGACATCTCGGATGACCTGAGAGTAAATTTTCAGCAAATTCCTTTACATTTCCCGCATTATTTTTAGAAGTAGCAATGAATTCATAATCTAATTCTCAGTACACATCTTCTAGGATATATCTATCATTTTTCTCTTTCTATTTTGTGAGCTTTGAGTAACCTGAGTCCTTGAATTGATGAGTCGATTTCTGAGAATGAGTCTAGATATATTGACTGCCACACAATACTTGCTCGATTATTGTCTTCAAATGGAAATAGAATGAAATGCAGAGACGTACATGTGATGCACGGCACTGTGTGAGTCACTTATAAATTCAGTTTGTTCATTCAACAATATATTGTTGAACTTTTTTGTGCATTGCTGTACCAGATCTGTCTGGAATACTCGCTTCAGTGTGTCTTTGTTGGCATAGCCTAAAAAGCATTTTTCAACTCTTTTCCAGCCTTCAAGTAAGAGCTACATTTCCCGTTTAGAGGTGAGCACCTCATTACTCCAGCAGCCATGGCAGACGAGGCCGACATGCGCAATGAGCTGACGGACATGCAGGCCAGAGCTGATCAGCTGGGCGATGAGGTAAGTATACCTTCAACATGCATGGGAGACACAGGTCTAGAAATAAACCCTAAATACGACAGCATCTGTTTATAAATAGACCCATCCCAGCGTGAAGGAGAATGAACACACCATGACTTCCAGACGTGCGATAGAAGATAGAACCACACTAAAGAGCATCTCTGAATAAAACTGTTTTGTGCAAAATGAAGCAGCTCTATATTAAGACTGCTCATCTATTTATCATGGAGCAGTGGAGACTGCTTGGTTATCAGGCAGAAGCAGTGGGAGGATCTCCACTTGTTTCAGACAGAAACAGCCTAACTCACAGCACCTGCCCAGTGGGGGTTCTACATTGGCTTTGATAGACCTTTAATCCCACTGGTCTCCTGCAAAACAATCAGAACTTTGACAGAGCTACATGTGTGAGGGTGATTGACCATGTCATCAGAACTCTAGTGCATTATTAATATGGCCAATGCACATATGTCCTTGATTGATTTACTAGGTTATATACTGACAAAAAAAGGGATAGTTTACCCAGAAATAAAAATGTTGTCATCATTTACTCACCCTCATGTCATTCCAAAACTGTATGCAACAAAAGAAGATATTTTCAAGAATTTTGTCCATACAGTGCAAACCAATGAAGCCCAAAACAACATTGGAACCCAGTTTCATTGTATGGAGATATATAAGTCATGTGGGCTTGGAAAAAACTTGAAGGTGATTGAATTTGTTTTTGGGTGAACTATCCCTTTAAGAAAAAAACGTTACTGTCATTTTTATCTTAATCCTTAAATAATACAACTTTTTTTTAACACTGCTTGAAGTTGAATTGTGCAATTTATGTGCCACTAGTGGCACTAAAAGGGAACAGGAAACAGACAAGTGTCACTAGTGACCAGACAGGTGTCCAAAACATTCCAACCACATCACCCCCGCATTAATCCACATAACAACAAAAACTATTAAAAAGAATTTTTGTGTAATTGAAATAAAGCTGCAATAAATGCATTTAACATATAAATATTAAATGAAAAAAAATGTTGAAAATGTTGACTTTGGATCAAACTGAAAAAAGAGGTTTAAGTTGAAGTAATAAATGTATTAAAACGGACATAAAAATAAAGTTGTACAAACAAAATTACAACAAAATTTGTAAAACTTCAACAAAAATTTAAATATGAAAATAAAACTGAAAATAAAAAAATAAAAGCTCATGTAAAATATAAATAAATAAATAATATAAATACTATACTATAATATAAATACTATAAATAATATAAATTATGCAAAAATACATTGTGTATGTTCTATATTGAAAAAATTGTTCCATGTCATTTGTTACGTGTGGTGACATGCAACAATTGATATATTTGAAGTTCCATAAATGTGAAAATAGACTAAAATTGGAGCACTTTGCATGCACAATATGCAAACTGAAAACCAGACTTCTGAAATCATCTGGGTTCATTTGAAGCATTCACATACAAACAAGGATTGTGGCAAAAGTAAACAGATGTTTCCCAGAGTCTTTTTATTTTTCTCACCATGAAATAGCTTCAATAAATAAGCAGATCATTACGTGAGATGAAAATTGACTTGCCAGCTAGTTGACTAACTTGTCAATAGTTGTTTCCACACATTAAAGTGGCACAAGAGACAGTATTAACAACAAAAAAATGACATACTTTACCTTCAATACCACACAATGACGAGGTGGTGTATAGTTGGGTGGAGTATGGTGTATGATGGCATGGCTCTTGACGAGAGCTCTCTAAAAAGAAATCAAGATCCCAATAATGATCTTTAATCCCAGCCGTCATATTTCTTCAGCTGAGATATATACAGTGAACTGGAATGGGAGAGCTTTAAATATTCATGAGTGGATAATGCTATCTTGAGCTTTCTTTGAAGGAACAGGAAGGAAAGGAGGGGGGACAGAAATGGCTATACATTCGGCTCAGTCTGAACTTGGCAGCCATTAGTAACATTCTGTCGGAACTGACATTATGAACATTATGGCCTTGTACCAACTGTGGTGCTCAGCACATAGCATTCAAATAACAGCATGAAGAACCAAACGAGCAGGAACATATTAGCTGTTGTGTGCAATGGGTAATAATAAGTGTATTTTTCTTTCTACAGTCTTTGGAAAGCACTCGCCGCATGCTGCAGCTGGTTGAAGAGGTAGGATAGTGACTTAATGACTTATACACACACACACACACACACACATATATATATATATATATATAGCTGTATATGAAACGCTGTTTTTACAAAGAGTTTGGTGCACTGCTTGTTTTCATGGCCGCTGAAGGTCAGAAATGGAGACGGTGAAATAGCACCGAATTTCCGCTCTGTGATAAAAATCAATAATGATTTCAGAGAAACTCCATCTATGTGTTACTGATAGGGCAGCGGTGAGACACAGGAGAGAAAACGAATCTTTCTAGTGTCTAATAGGGATCAAACACTCCTGACCACACATGTGGAGATGAAAAGATGGTGGTTGCTTTGGCATTATAAAGACCAGAAACCTAAATTTTAGTTTTAGTGTGATAGCGAGTATAAATCATATTATTTATTTGGTTTATTATTTAATGTTTTCTTCATCAAGGCTGCATTTACCTAAACAGAAATAAAATAATAAATAATAAATGAAATATTAAGACTGCTCATCTATTTATCATGAAGCAGTGGAGACTACTTGGCTACCAGGCATTTCTCAAAAAAAAAAAAAAAGAATACAGACCCCAACTTTTGAATGGTGGTGTTAGTATAATATGAAGGTTCCTGCTCCAAGTAGGGTTATTGCAGCCAAGATGCATAATATTTTTGGTCTCTATATATCTTAATGATTCTTAAAAAACAGACCCAGTACCAGGTGTTGTGAATTACATCTTGAAATTGGTCATCTAATGTTGTGAACGAATCATTCTCTCGATTCATTTTTGCCATTGTTGGAAAAAAGAATTGCATACTTGAGCTGCTAATGACCTTCAAAGTTCAGCAGTGCTGAACAAATATAATGTTCCCATCTGGTACTTGCATCTGATTTCATATTAAATGCTTCCAGTTTCCATTATGCCATATGTCACTTTGATTAAATGCAGAGTAAATGCACATACCTGTTATTATTAGTATAAAATGAGTTGACAAAACTGATAAGTGGGGATATTTTACTAAATTAAGTATTAATTTTTTTTTTCATTGCATACAAAGATTGCTGTAGGTACCTGGTGCTGTGATAACAAACCTCAGCAGTGCTCGATCATCTAGTTAAAATATTGAGGTGATGTGGGATTCAGAATAAGACAATCAGCTGTTTTATTTAGGTCAATAGAACCTGCATGTGCCTCAGAGAACAACTCGCCATATTGCACACACACACATATGCTCTCATACCTTCAGAGTTCAAGCCAGTGCTCTGTTTACAATTCAGAACTAATTTTAGCTCCATACTGTCTGCCACCTCATTGCCACCTTATTATTACCTGCCAAATGAAGAAAGTGCTCTTGAAGAATTTCAATAGTCGTGATAATGCTGTGCGCTACAGTCTGTCCTTGCTTGCTGTTCTTTTCTCATCTTATATCTGACCTAAATATGTGTGAATCTCCTTTCTGTTCACCTGTAGGCTTCTCTCATTTGTTTGTTATTTCCTCTTTTTTTCTTGCTTTGCCATTCTTGATGGATTAGAGTAAAGATGCTGGTATCAGAACTTTGGTTATGCTGGATGAACAGGGAGGTAAGTTACGGCGAAAAACACATTATGGAATAATTTAATGAGGTTGTGCAGTAAGTCATTTTTATTTGCTTATTTTAACTTAACTATCTATAAGTTACTCATAATGCTTTGCCAGATGAGCTGTTTTGCAGATTAAAGAAATTATTTAAACATCATTTATGATTATAAACATCAGGCCGTCATGTCAAAAGCGAAGTTTTGAGAGTCTTGTAAAGAGGTAAATTGAACGATCGATGTTGCTGGTAATGACAAACAGCTCTCCTCTTCACCAGATGAAATATATCTGTGTACAATCCCTGGGGCGAAAGACTTTCCAGTTAACACTCATTGCTGTTTTAGGATAATTAGACAAACATACTCCATTCCACGAACAGTATAGGCATTTTCATGAAAAAAGAAAACAAAAATTGATTTATTGGTTTAATAGAAACAGTCACATCTATAGACAAATCAAGCCCTTATAATGCTAGAGGCTTTATTCGGTTTTATGTGGATTATAAGAAGTGTTGAGTTCCTTTCCACATGGAAGAGAAATTTTAATTAGTCTGTCAAAACAACATACAGCCTTTCTTCTCGTTTTGTTAAATTATGGATGTTGTGTTCTTCAGACTGCCTCAGAACAATCCATTTCCTACCCTAAATGATCCCGCCACCTTTTTTGCCTCCGGCACATCTCATAAAGCTGTGCTCTGATTGCTTAATGTACTGTAATAGTCTCCTAGAGCTCAGGAGGTTTCTAGTTAGAAGTTCACTTCAGTAGACATATAAAGGGAGTGATAAGAATGTCACGTAAAGAATTACATAAAGTCAGTTGTCTGACTCAAGGGCACCGCGATGGTAGCTCATTAATCACATTTTCAGCATTTTGAACCTACAACCTCTGGGTACCAGCCTACAGTGTTAACCGTCCAAAAGGTATGGTACTCCATCTGTTTTATTTAAAGATAGAAAATGTCATGACATTAACCAAGCACAAATTTAAACTTCTTTCAATGTTTAAAATCAGCGTTGTTACTATGAGTGTGGTTTGAACCCACAAGGACATTTATCCATTGGATCTTGAGTCCAAAGCCTTAACCACTCGGCCATCCTGATCACGTTTTTAGGGTAGTTGTAGATATTGCATCTCCAGTATGCTTTCTTTCATCTCTTTAAGATAAAGCAGTTTTTTTTATTTGTAATTACTCATTACAGAATTGACATTTGCTACAAGGAGGGGGGTTTGATCCCACAAAGACATTTGTTTATTGGATTATAAGTCCAAAATCTTAACCATTCAGCCATCCTGGTTGTTATTGTCAGGAGGTAGTTGAAGTGACTGTTCCTCTAGTCTCTAAGAGCACAGCTTTTTTGGCCCTAATTCATGCTAGAATTTGCTACTACCTACTACTAGGAGTGGGGTTTGGATATAAAGTCCAATGCTTTAGCCACTAAGCCATCCTTGTCATGTTAAAATGTCATTATTCCTTTTAGAGACACTACATAACCAGTTTTGAGAACCCAGTTTGTTGGTAACACAACCACATAGAGCTGCACTACATTCTACTTAGAATTTACATTGATCTACCAGGAGTGGGGTTCAAACCCACGAGGACATTTGTCCATTGGATCTTAAGTCCAACGCTTTAACCACTCAGCCATCCTGGTCACGTCGATGCGTTAAAGGGGTCATATGATGCGTGTTACAAGCTCTTGGTGCATAAAGAAGATCTGTAAAGTTGCAAAGGCTAAAGTCTCAAATCCAAAGAGATCTTCTTTATAAAAGTTCAGAGTCAGCCACACCTACCTAAAACGGCTCGTTCTAACATGCCCCCACATATCTACCTCACTATGTGGGAAGATTTGCATAATGCCGCCCAAATGTTCACGCAAAGAAAGAAGGTGTAACTTTTATTCTGGCTGTAGTATTGTTGACGCTGCAGCCATGTCATGAAGGCACTGTGTGCTTCGTTGTGAAAGCGAAACTACTTTGTTTGGTCTTCCAAAAGAGGACGATATCCGCTTCTTCGTGCCTAGAGCTGATCTGTGCTGGTCGCTGAGGGAATACATCAACTTTCACCATGGACAAAGTGGAGTCCAGCCCGCTTATTTTTTATTCGGTATTCAGTCAATCACAGCACACCTCGCTTTTTCAGACCGATGAGCTTTGTAAAAATCTACGCGTTTCAAAAAGGCGGGGCATAGAGGAGAAACAATAATGTACAGTATGTGGAAAATAATGTGTTTTTTGAACTACAAACCGCTTAAATACATTTCATTACACCAAATAATGTTCTTTTTAGCAGCATCATATGATCCCTTTAAAACCCTCTTTATTGATCTACTAGGAGCGGGGTTCAAACCCACGAGGATATTTGTCCATTGGATATAAAGTCCAACGCTTTAATTACTAAGTGGCTAGTTTGTTGTGTAGTTATTCCATCATTATTACTTTTAGAGGCACTTCATAATCAGTTTTGAGAAATCAATTTGTTGGTAACACAACCACATAGCGCTGTATTACTACATTCTACTTATAATTCACATTGATCTACCAGGAGTGGGGTTCGAACCCACAAGGACATTTGTCCATTGGATCTTAAGTCCAACGCCTTAACCACTCGGCCATCCTGGTTCATTGGTGTTGTTTGGAAAGGCATTAAAGTAGCTCAATGGATGCCATTACAGTCTCAGTCCTGGTGTTAAATATAAAACAGTGAAGATATGCTTTACATCACTGTCAACCAATGGCGAGACGAGTCTCCCACTGTCTTTCTCGCCTCCTTCCCCCTCTTTCTTCAGTCACGCTGCTCTTGCTCATGGGATTAGCAGCAAAACCCAATTAGTCGTTTGGCTTGTTGACGGTATAAGGTGGACACCTCATACTAGACCCTGTCAGTTGTATTTAAACTGGCTAAGAAGAATAAAATGTTTAGCTCAATTAAGGACAGATGAACAGACACTTAAAAGTGAATCTTATTATTATATATTTGTTCATTTTTATAAAACTCCAACATCTGTTTTGCTCCCCCAGGGATTTTACCGTTTTCTAAAGCCCTAAAGGAATGTGAATCCCTCTTAGCAGCAAAACCCATTTAGTCGTTTGGCTTGTTGACTGTATAAGGTGGACACCTCATACTAGACCCTGTCAGTTGTATTTAAACTGGCTAAGAAGAATAAAATGTTTAGCTCAATTAAGGACAGATGAACAGACACTTAAAAGTGAATCTTATTATTATATATTTGTTCATTTTTATAAAACTCCAACATCTGTTTTGCTCCCCCAGGGATTTTACCGTTTTCTAAAGCCCTAAAGGAATGTGAATCCCTTCCGTCTGTTGTTCATTTCAGTTCATGAATGATCATCCATTACATTCTTCAGTTTACTTCCCCTTACCACACAATAACTAATATTTATGCTCCATATTTCATTCTCATTTGCTCTTTATTTCTCTTCTGTTTCTGATCATCTTCTTTCTTTCTCAGCGTTTGCTCACTGTATTCACACATTCGTAATTATCCTGACTGTTTATTTTTTTTAGTTCAGCTCAAACAGTGGTGGCTCAGTTACAGTGAGCCAGTGCCCAGTGATGCCAAGCATTCATGCCAGCAACTGCTGGATTCCCTAAAGGCTCGGAAGAGCATCCCTATTACAAAATATTAGCAAATGCTTATTGAGATAGTTCACCCAAAAATTAATGAATTAATTAATTATTGGTGGTGGATGAGGAGATACCCCCTGACAATGTAAAGTGCTTTGAGTGCCTAGAAAAAGCGCTATATAAATGTAATGAATTAATTAATTAAATGCTTATTGAGATAGTTCACCCAAAAATGAAGAGTCACTCTTATGTTGTTCTGAACCTGAACCTTCTTCCATGGAATGATTATGATACTTTTACAGTGCTGATTTTGGAGATTGACAGCCCCAGTCATTCCCCTTTCAATTTCATTAAAATATATGTTCTAAAAGGGGCATATCAGCAAACCATGTTTGGTACTTCAAAAAATCTTTCAGTGAGCAGTTCTTGAAAGAGCCATTTCTTTTTCTTTCTTAGTGTGAAGAACATTTTAAAATCCAAAGGACATTTTATTGAATGGAAATTTTCCATGGATGGTAAAGGTTCTTCGTGAAACCATAGATGCCAAGAACCATGGTGGGGGGGAAATGTGACTTGAATATTCAAAAATCAATTTTTTGTGTTTTGTGGAGGACAAAAAAAATATCATATGGGTTTGGAACAATATGAGGGCATGTAAATGATGACAGAATTTTAATTTTGGATTAATTATTTCTTTAATTATTGCCATAATTTAACCAAGGCAAATTGTCAAGTTGAGCACAAATTAAACAGGTAAATGCATGTGGGTTGAAAAGTCACTTTATTATTTGCGTATGTGCTCAACGCCTCATAGGCCATGTTCTCGGCATGACCTAACCTACCTAACTACCCACCACATCATTCAAATGTCTCACGTTTTGAGTAGATGTGTTTCTGGACAGCTTAGATGTCATTTGTCATCATCGTTTGTCTGCAAGGATGCAAAGTCTCATTTCATTACTGTCACCCCTTTGTCCTGACCAGAACAACTCGAGCGTGTTGAAGATGGCATGAACCATATCAACAAAGACATGATGGAAGCTGAGAAAAGTTTAAAAGATGTAGGCAAATGCTGTGGACTTGTATGTCCCTGCGACAAGTAGGTACTGGTGAAGCGTCCAAGGCTTTCACCTGTCTGCTGCTGTCTGACTGTCTCTTGTCACTGTGAATGTTTAAGCCTCTCTCTTTCTTTTTGTCCCTCTTTTCCTCCTTGCCTTCCCTTTCTCTTTCTCTCCATGTTGCTTTTCCGCACTCTTTATTTCTTTTGGGGGCGTAATTGACTAATGTTAAAATCAGAGCAACTGGAGCGCATCGAAGAGGGAATGGATCAGATCAATAAGGACATGAAAGAAGCAGAAAAGAATTTGACGGATCTAGGAAATCTCTGTGGTCTATGTCCATGTCCATGTAACAAGTAGGTGATATCTGTCGCCTGCCTGCCTGCTTGCCTGCCTGAACCCGACAAATAGGAGAAAATGCATGTGGCCAATTTGCACGCTCGCTCTTGCTCGCTGCGTAGCTGCCACTTCCCCCCACTGCGCTCTGCCTGGACTACTTCTCTGTGCATAGGGATGGTGGTAGAGCTAAGTCCGTCTGCGGTGCCACTGGTTAACCCATAGTTGTAGCTGTAGGCCC